CTGACATGAGATTCATTAACTTCCATTACAGCCCAGACCATTGCCTTACAACTATGCCCAATAGTGTAATCAAGTGTTCAGCCCTGTCTCCAGCTCCGCACGGGGTGACTGTGTGTGGTCTTTTGTGTGCATAAAGCGTAGATATGTAGTATTTTAACAGAAAAAGGATTTAGGATTAGTTTCGTTTTCACAATATGTTTCTTAGCATATCTTCAGTTAGCATTAGTACATTAGCTTCAGGTTCCTCTGGTGATGTTCCTGGCTCTGCCTTTTTACCGGTTTTTAACTCGATTTTAGATCATAGGAAATATGAGTAGCTTAGCTCAGGTAGGGCAGTCGGGTCCCCAGCAGAAGGAAGAATAGAATATTTTAACTTTTATCACATTTCTTTGGAAGCAGGAACAAGGACAACAAATGTGTTATTGTGTAGTAATAGTATAGTGTAATTGATTGTAATCAGTGCTAGTACCACAGTGTAGAAATACTCTGACACAAAAGTGAAAGTCCTGCATTTGAAGTCTTACTTAAATAAAAGTACATGAGTATTGGCATCAAAATATATTTTAAGCACTAAAAATAAAAGTAAAAGAAAAGTTATGCAGATGGCTGATAAAGTGGAACTTTATCTTTATCTACATTTATTTGTTGATTTATATTTATATATACAAGTATAGTACAGGACTTCAGTAAATTTCGTTACATTCCATCATTGATTGCAATTTATAGCGATTCTAGTTTGATAATTGATTGACTATGATCTATGCTTCTGTCTTAATAAAATATCCTCTTAAATTCGGGGTCAGTGGTCTATTGTGCATCTATTGTGGGGGTCCTTGACATGAAAAAGTTCGGGAACTCCTAAATGTATTGCTCAGTTGAACGTCATAAACAGCAGCCCTACCACTATATGTTAACAAACAGGAGTCGAACAACATCAAAACATTCTGGATTTTTTTTAAAAATCAGAAAATGGGTAAGGGTAGAAAAAAAAAACTCCCACAGCACAAGGTGGAATATGCAGCTTCATTTTTGGCTGAGCCAAACTGAAAGTCCTGGTTCACAACTATAACACTAATAAATTATAAGACAAAAGTTCAACTAGGAGGATGTTTACCATGAGGTGTAAGGGGGTCTTAGTGGGTCCCTTGGCAGACATCTTCTCCCACAATCCCCTTCTGACGTAGCGCACTGTGGTCCCGGCCAGCTCAAACTCTCCTGGAAGCTCGATCTTCCAGTCGCTGTTGATGGACCTCTCACCAGAGTCTTTCAGGGCTGTGAGAAAGACACAAGAGGTCAGAAGTAACACTTTCATGCACAAACCCTGGGTCTTTGCGTGACTACTACTTTATCAAACCAAAATTTCACATTGTTCACATTGTCTACTGTATGGCAACAGTGATTAAATCCTAGAATAATTCAGTTCTAAATATAGACAGGACAGATGTTACAATAGTGTACTTAAAACCTTTTTTTAGCTTTGGGTAATAACAAATTTGAAACTGCAAATGAATGCAGCAAAACTAGCAGACATTTGGAGATGGCGGGACATGGTATAGCCATAATACGTAACTGAAGTTCATTAGCAAACTGTGCTGAGCTTAGCACATTAAGCTAATTAGCATTAGCCTGACTGCGCCATCTGAATCATCTGGGAAGTTGTTGTTGGAAACTGTTTGGAAGAGGGCAAGCACCTTAAAAAGATACTTGGCAGGTGATTGGATGAACCATCTTTCACCATCTGCAAACTTCACTCAATCAGATCAATGAACCATATAACGTAGTCAAACTCTTACTGAAGACAGTTGGGAGCAGAGTGAACATTTTTTCCATGGAGAAAAGCCTTCAGTGCTGTTATTTCCTCTTCTTTTAATGAAGAAATACTCTCCAGTTCTGATAGAACTGATGCTAGCAGCTTCTCTGCTAACCTAGCGCTCACCCCCATACCTGCCAGGACACTGATTGGTTTAGTACCACTGTACTGGCCACAAATGCGTCATTGAAGCCTGGCAAGCTGGATTATCTTGTGATCTTGTGAGTCCAGCTGCATTGCAAGGTAAGATTGTCAGGCATAATAAGGTGAGCGCAAATGAAACACCGGAGCTGAAAGACATATCTCTGTCCGTTAAGTTCCCAGTTAGGTACAACAGCAACAGAGAGTTGTTACATAACACAAGGACGGTGTGTTGACAGAGCTCCACCATTGTAGGGTATGTGAATGGAAGCACATCAAACACTGATGTACATTTGATGGCGTCCCCCCAGATGAACCAAATCTGTACTTCTGTATGGCAAGCCATTTTAACATTTAACAGCTAGACTGGATATGTGTT